AGGATAAGGTGATATAGTGATTTGATACGAAGACAATATTGGCTTCATCTTCTCGAATTTATCAATCATAGTAAACAATAGCTGAAATATGTCTCATTTTACAACTACAAAAAATTATAAAAAATAATTAGTATAATAAAATTTGGTAAAATAATTAAATATTAAATAAATATAATATAATAAAAGAAATAGTTTAACCTTTTAAAAACTTTAACAAAAACTACTTAGTTTGATAGAAGAAAGAACATCAAAATAATTTTGATGTGGTTTGATATTTAGATTTGGGGGTATTTATAGGGGAGGGGACGAGTGGTTGGTCGGGATTTAAAGTTGATAAATGGGGTAATATGGAAGCGTGCCCCCTGCACCGCGCCTTCTCCCTTGTCAGAATTTCTCCATAAAAACGTCACTTGCAATGCTCTTTCCCATCATGTCAAAATCTTTCCATGAAGGCACGCCTTTCTTAAGGTGCGTTTTTTGCTACGCGCTTTATTATTAATAAGTTAGAAAGTATGCTAAATCAGTAAAATTTGGACAATTGGTGCATGAACGATAATATTTTATTATTAGGGTATTTTTGGTAAAAACGTCAATTTCAAGTATTTGATATCTATTTAATAAATATATAAGTATTAAATTAGCTTAGAAACAAAAATATTATATTTGTAAAAATCATAATTTGAAATAACAAATATATATAACGTTAAAACAGATATAAATAATATATTAAAAGTTTCTTCCCTCGTACTTTCATAATGAAAAAAATTTATCTTCTTTTTATGTTTCTGGTTGCAATAATTGACTGAAAGGGCATTGACTTGACTTATCCCCACCCCACCCCGTCCCACTATAAACACCTTTAAAATTATTTTGCCAACTTTATCTATTTATTTAATTTATAACTAAAAAAAGATAATCTATTTATTTAAGTCATGCAAATATTTTTATAATTTGTTTTGATAATTCAATAATTTTTTAAAAGGTTAATTACATGACATAACATGTATATTTGTATTTTGTTATTTTTTTCATTGATTATAAAAAAAATATAATATATGGTTATTTTTATTTAATTAAAATACGATCACTTTCATCTTCGTTTAATAAAAATATGGTCACTACAAGTTAAATGTCATTGATTAGGTGATGTGATATTTTCGTATAATCATACATTTGGTCTGTGTTATTTATATATTCTCTAAATTTAATAAAAATATGACTAAATTGAGAGAATATGTAAATAACAAAAACCAAATGTAGTGACAGATGTGTGTATAAGCCAGGGTGGGCATAGAACCCGAATTTATCTATGTTATTTTTTTATTTTACTAAAGGTGTCCACCCTGAAATTTTATTTGTGTCCACCTCATGTGAAAATATTTTGTTATTAATACAAATGTATCCATCCTGAAAATATTTTTGAATCCGCCTTTGACAAAATGTTTGATTACACCAAAATATTTAACGACAGTTGACTCGGGGTGATCACATCTTAATTAAATAAAAATGAAAGTAATCATATATTATATTTTTTAAATCGGTATGAAAAAATGATAAAACACAAACATAAATAATCAATCATTTACTTAGTCATTTTTTTAATCATATAATTAATTTTATTTTTAGTCATTTATTGTTAAAAAAATTTAACGATAGTACTGATTTATCAACTTGGGCTCTAGCTTCATTTTCATGGTTGTCCGCCTCTTACTTGCTCGAGCAAATACTGCATTAGCCATGTTTATCAGTCCAGATAAACCGATTCTCTCACCCATTTTCAAGTTGTGCGACCTTACCAACGAATATGCAACCAACGCCGATCCACCTCACCAACACATAATAGGATAGTCAAATAAAATACAATCATCATTTATGATTTATTTTCATTTATTTTGGTAATATGACAATTACCCACATTTTCAAATGTTTGTATGACATAAGTTTTCAATCATTTCATAACTCATATGGTGTATTGTCATTTATTTTAGGTGACAGAACAACTTAACTCTCCCCCATATGTTCTGTGACAACATATGTTCTGTGACAACTGAGAACTTCTTAAGATTGCGTTCATTGTTTAATTCTTTCTCTTTGTTACTTCATTTATTTTAGGAGAGTATAGTGTTGTCATTTCATGAATAACATCATGTTGTGCACTTCTTACCATCTTAATATATTTATTAAGTTGGTTTTCAACTTCATGTTTATAGAAAATATTTTTTTCTATAATTTCGTTTTGCTCTTTTAGTAAATACATATATCAATACTTTTATTATCATCAATGGAGATAATAAAGCATTTATTCTGTAACACCCCCAACCCGTACTCGACCTGGATACGAGTCTGAGATGTCACATTGACTTTTTAAAAATAATATTCTTACAAAATAACATAACATTTTGTCTTATATTAAGAAAATACGATAATATACTGTTGAATTATGTTTCATTATAACAAATTTAAGGAAAAAAATGTTTTTATGAATAGTATTATACTGTATGAATAGTATCGATACTGTGTAAATAGTATCGTGAACAGTAATGAACAGTGCTACAATGTACCGATATAGTGCTACAATGTACCGATACACTGCTACAATAATTTCTGCCCAACATTTATAAAACTCATAAAAATTTAAACTTTCATCACTATAAAGTTACCATTTACATAAATACGTTTGAAACATTACAAAACTCGATCAGAGCATTCATACTTAATTTACCGACTTTGTTTACATGCCAACCTATTTATCACATAACAAGACATACTGTGTAATTTACTTCTGATCTTCAAGTGGAGATATATTGTTCTGCTGAGCTTATATTGGATATTTCTGCTTTTCGGTACCTACGTGTAAAACGCTTACACGCTAAGTCATAGACTTAGTGAGGCATAATGATAATATCATAATAATATGAAATGTGTATGAAATGTAATGAAATCACATATTTAATCCATGCAAGTTGCATAACCATGTATCTTACCCATAATCTGATCAAATTAACCATCATGGATTCATATAATAAGTTCACTAGCCCATGACACAATACTGAGAACCTAAGGTATACAAGTACAATGAGGTTGTGCACTATGCTGTCACTACAACTTGTATAAATTGCACCAAAGTGTCACGTAAAATTTGTTCCGAAAGATCGCAGATAAATGCACCAAAGTGCCGCGTAGAAATGTATCATAGTGCCAGATAAGATGTTCATAAAGACCACGTAGAAATTCTTTAAGAATCATATACATATTCCAAGGATCAAGTATGTGTCTCAAAAGACCTCACACATGTTCCAAAGAATACATATATGTCCCGAAGGACCGCGTAAACTCTTTACTCTTGGCATGCCAATTATACCTATAGTTCTCATCGACATAACATGGGCTTTCACAATTCACATAGTTTATATCTCGTAGACATGTAAATTTTACCTTGATCACATAGCTCGTGTAACTTTTCAAACATATTCATGTCGAAACGATTTTTAAAGTGAGTGAAGTGAGATTTTGAAAACCACGTCATTTTTAATTATTCTCTTAAAATTACAATTTTTAATTAAAAACAATGTGATTTTAGAGATCTCTCGTTTAGAAAATTTGGAAATTCCTTCACGATAAAAACATAGGTTCGAAGAGTCGCCACCAATCTTTGAGTAGGGTGTGATTGGGCACCCAAAAATGTTTTGCCATTTCAAATAAAAAATAATTTTAATTAAAATGACAAATAGATGTATGCGTTACCAAAATTCGAGTTCGAAAGTCGGTTACGCACGGGGAAGGATTAGCACCCCCACAGTGCCCTAAATCGGTACCTAGTCGATTAATTAATATCTTTGCAATGAAATTTATAAATTCGAGTTTAATTTGGTTTATGATTCCCGAAAAATAAAACAACATACAAATTTTACCATATTTCAAAGCACTAAAATTGATTAAGTTAAAATTACCCAACCTTTAGAAAGATAAAGAATATTCAATTATTTACAAATATCGAGACTAAATCTTAAATAATTATAACAACCTTTTCTCGATAAATTTAAATAGCCGAATATTTCTTTTTCTTCCATTCCCAAATTTTAAAGTGATGAATCAATTTCTTAGGTGTCACTAATGGGATACACTTTTATTTTAAAATCGTTAAAAGCGGACCTCGAATGCGTTATGACAACCCACTTAAAATGATTTTAAATTAAAAGAATATTACCTTTAATCTAATTATGTAATAATGTCAAGTTATGCAAATGAGGATATCATACATATTACACAAAAGGATGTCATGCAAAAATTAATTAAACATATGATTAGAATAAATGAGCAACTAAATATAAAGCTGAAATCATAAATTAAACAAAGATCACGAGAAAAACAACTCAATACATTACATATAATAAAATCAAAATAAACCCGAAACTGCCTATAAAATCAAAAACATAAATCTGAAAATGAACATACCAAATGTAAAAACAAAAGAAAGTTCACAATAAATGGATCCCAGGAATGAAATGCCAATTAACAAAATTACATACTAAATGTAAAAATAACATACAACTTAGAATCAACATAATAGAGGACCAAATTGAAAGTCGTGCAAAATATAAAGGCACAAATAGAAAATCGAAAAGGCTCAACCTGAGGACTAAATCATAATATGCGTAAAAGTACAAATCAAATGTATAAACAAACAAAAGTTAAATACATTACCATTCAGGACTTAAATTAAATACGGGTAAAATATGGAGACAGAATCACAAACATGCAAACATTGACTTATGGACCAAATTAAAATGCGCATAAAATATAAAGATAAAATTAAAAAATACAGGAAATGTGAATTAAAGACTAGAGTGCATTAAATAAAAATAAACGTGACTCCCTCAGCAATACTCCCACGCAAACTGGCCACTCAAAGCGCTGTCGTTTTGAGGATCTAATATATTCGAAATATTGGGTAAAATGAAACCCTACCTCATTTGCTAAAAATACCTCATTCAGCCACAATGCTCTCTTCTCTCCCTATCTCTTCCATTCCTCTCGTTCTCACAAAGCACCGTTGAAAGCCCCCAATGGTCTCCCAAATAGACACCGCTCCGGCCACCGCCGTGGTGGCCACTCCTCTCCCCAATAGGCAAATACGACGATGGGAAAAGCCCTAAATAACCCCAACAAAGTAAACCCCGTCTAGTTTGTTCATAATCTCCCACTCCAACTCTCGATCGAGGCAACCTAGGACACCCGAGGGCTCGCTCTTGTCGTAGATCAACTACTTCCTCACCTCCGACCACCCTAACGGTGATTGGGCTAGACCACAACCCCAATACCAGATCTGAAACACAACATACGACCGAAAAAGACTCACGGCCCTTCACCTCATCGACACCGGCTGTAGACCACTACTCCGATAGGGAACTTAAACCACTAAGGTAAACTGACCATCCATCTTTTATTCCTATTTTAATCTGTTTTCATTTTAGAAATCCCAATAAATGGTAACTAAACCGAAAAAATGACATGCAAGGGTGCTAACAACTCACCACAAACTCACCCAACTCCGGCGACAGTGTTTCTCTTTCAGCGACACTCGAACAGACCAAGTACGCACCTATCCCTTTCCTTTGGTTTGGTTTTGCTTAACGGTGGCTAACGATGATGGGTTTCGATTGGTTTGCTTTAGGTTATTTTGTGTTTTTTTTTTCGTTGAATCCCCTCAACAATAATCCTTTTGTTTATTTGGAATCGATGTTAAAATAAAATGAAAGAACTCATGAAAGAATCGTAAAGATAACTTCGAAAATCAAACTCTAGCTTTTATTTTCTGTGAAATGAATGAGAACGATTACATCATTTTTTTGTTACAACGAATCTGTTAACAATGTAATCCTCTCCCCTCTGATGACTGTGAACCCCCAAAATGATTTAATATGTTGTTGTCTTTTCTTTTGTGTGTTGAATCTGCCCCCTTTTTCATTGCATGTTATCTGCCTCGCTGATAAGATCCTCTTCACCCTCTTTCCCGATGCAGGAAAATGGAGACCCAACCCCTTGTGTTCCCTTTTCGCCCGTTGCAGAGCATGGGCACCAGCTCGGGCTTGGTGCTTCACGTGAGGACTGAAAACGGCATTGGCAGGGTGTGGGCAACATGACATCTCGGGAGGCACCAGCTTCTGTTGGGAGTGGCACTTCAGTATGTGGAGCAGACATGATGGAGCATGCGTGCATGAGCTGTTGCTCGGTTGGGGCACTTCACGTGGGAGGTGTCTCTAACTGGGTCAGATTTGAGTCAAAACTGGGTCAAACTTGGGTTGTAATTGGGCCATAAATATTTGTAATCTATTTTGGACTTGTAAGTGGACTTCAAACACTTAATTTGGGGTTGAATTTTAATTTATCTCTCGATCTCCAAAATGAAACATATACGATATCAATCCAATTAAGCACCAAAGTTTCTTGATTTTCATGTTATCCCCAAATACAAGCTTCCATTCATCTTTTGAATTAAATCCTCATTGAGCAATATTATCTCCAAATTAATTCTCGAACATCTTCATGTGAATTTAAATTGTTCGGACAAAATTAGGGTATTACAGCTGCCCCTCTTTTCTCGTTGTTGTGAACACAAGAACGTGGCAAAGATAAAAAATAACCTAATTTGTCTGACCGTAGCGTCTATTTCCCTTCTTCAGTCTTCTCATTGACTTTCGCCTCCATCTCACGTGCATAAAACGCTTTTAATCGATTGCTCTGCTTCGTCGTACCCGAGAATCTTCAATTTCCTTCCACATCTGATGATCTGATGGTTTGCTCCAACACTCTTCTGAGAAGGCTTAAAATGGCCCGGATGACTTATCATCTTGGTGTAAAAACATCCTACCCGAAGGTTTTATGGATAACCCAAAGGATTTAATCATCATACTCGAAAGACTTACTGATGGTCCGAAGGACTTCCTCATCATGCTCGAAAGACTTACTGATGGCACTTACTGATAGATTTGCTTCACTATTCTTTGGTGAAGTCTTACAAATTACCTGAAGGATTTAATCATCATGCTCGAAAGACTTACTGATGGCACTTACTGATGGATTTGCCTTACTCTTCGCTGAAGGCTTACAAATTACCCGAAGGATTTAATCATCATTTTCTTAAGACTTACTGATGGCCCGAAGGACTTATATAGTGCGAAGTATTGGAAATCACCTTTTTACTTCAAAAATTTCATTTTCTTAAACCATTACTTTCTCATTTTTTAAATTCACTTGAAAATATCCCACCCGAAGGTCTTATCATCTTGCTCAAAAAGCTTACAGATGACCCGAAGGATTTAAGCATCATGCTCGAAAAACTTACTGATGGCCCGAAGGATTCTTAATCATCATGCTCGAAAGACTTATTGATGGCCCGAAGGACTTATAAAGTGCGAAATGCTGAAATCACCTTATTACTTTTCAAATATCTCATTTTCTTAAACATCACTTTCATTTTTCAAATTCATGTCAAAACATCCTACCCGAAGGACTTATCATCTTGCTCAAAAGACTTACAGATGACCCGAAGGATTTAAACATCATGCTCGAAAGACTTACTGATGGCCCGAATGACTTATAAATTTTGGAAATAATTTACTATGTAAGAAACCTTTCTTACTTTTCAAAAATTCCATTTTCTAAAAACATCACTTTCTCATTCTTCAAATTTATGTGAAAACATCCTACCTGAAGGTCTTATGGATGGCCTGAAGGTCTTATGGATGACCCGAAGGACTTAATCATCTTGCTCTAAAGGCTTACAGATGACCCGAAGGATTCAATCATCATGCTCGAAAGACTTACTGATGGCCCGAAGGACTTAAAAATAATGAATTTTCGAAATCGCCTTCTTAGTTTTCAAAAGTTTCATCTTCTTAAAACATCATTTTCTCATTTTCAAATTCATGTGAAAACATCCTACCCGAAGGTCTTCTGGATGGACCGAAGGACTTATCATCTTGCTCAAAAGGCTTACAAATGACCCGAAGGATTTAAACATCGTGCTCGAAAGACTTAATGATGGCCCGAAAGACTTATATAGTGTGAAATATTAGAAATCGCTTTTTTACTTCTCCAAGATTTCATTTTCTTAAACAAAACTTTCTCATCTTTCAACTTTATGTGAAAACATCCTACCCGAAGGTCTGATGGATGGCCCAAATGACTTATCATCTTGCTCTAAAGGCTTACAGATGACCTGAAAGATTTAAGCATCATGCTCGAAAGACTTATTGATGGCTTGAAAGACTTACTAAGCGTGAAATTTTGGAAATCACCTTCTTAGTTTTCAAAGATTTCATTTTCTTAAAACATCACTTTCTTATTTTCTCAAATTCATGTGAAAACATCCTACCCGAAAGTCTTATGGATGGCCCGAAGGACTTATCATCTTGCTCTAAAGGCTTACAGATGGATTTGCTTCACTACTCTTCGGTGAAGGCTTAAGATTGAGTTGCTTCACTACTCTTCAGTGAAGGCTTAAGATGAATTGTTTCACTATTCTTTGGTGAAGCCTTAGGATGGTTTACTTCACCACTCTTCGGTGAAGGCTTAAGATGGTTTGCTTCACTACTCTTTTGGTGAAGGCTTAAAATGATTTGTTTCACTATTCTTCGGTGAAGGCTTAAGATTGATTTACTTCTTCATACATGAAAATCTTTGTTTTTATTATACATTTGATGGTCTTCACTTCAAAGTAATGCTTCTTTTGTGAATTAGACCTCTCTATTCTTCAGGGCATGTCTCTCTAAATGTGATTTCTTGTGTTTGAGGTTTGAAATCTTCCTTTCAATCATCGAGATTTTAACATCATGCATCTTCTCTTTTCACTAGAAGACCTGTCAAAATCATGTGTTTATGCATGAAGCACATATGCAATGAAATGTATCAGTGTAATGCATTTTCTTTTATGCAAATGATGTTCTCATGAATGCATAAATGTTAATTTAATCTTCATTTGCCTTCAAAGTGGCGAACTCAATCTTCTTTTACTTGATCATTCTTTCTAGGGTCTGCTTCATATACCCGTGTAGAAACTCATAGTTTTCAACTTGCATTTTTGACGAGCCCTCTGATCTTCTTCCATCTTCTAGTCGTCTTCGTCTTCTATCTTCATTTCGGAGGAAACATTTTCTCTCTCAACTTCTTGTTATGATCATAAATATGAATGTGTGCCATATTTTTGGAGACCATGCATATGCCTATATCAAACTCTGTAAAGATCAAAGGGAGATCTGCATCTATTCTGATTTAACTTTTGAAACACATCACAAGGAAGCTCTATCCCAATTTTCATGCCACCCATCTAATCAAATATCAAACAATGCTCATTTATACCCTATCAGGTCGAGAGATTTAATAACAACCCATCATTCAACTCTAGTTGGTTCCACTAGTTTCTTGATGTTAACAGTTTATCGCCTCTTTCGTGGAAATAAAATTTCACCATTTTTTCATTTTCAACCCTGGCATTGTAGAAGACAATCTTCATCTTAGGTAATGGAAACAATCTATAATCGCAACACTGATTCATCACAATATTCACTGGTTCGTAAAACATTTGACAATACATTCAGCTCTTCATGTGGCTTCGGCTCATATCTTTCAACCAAAGAAGCTATTTGCATAGCCTTCAGAGTTTTTGTATGGTATTACAAGGATACAAAAACTCAGTGGAAATCACAAGAGTAATACAACTCATGATGAACAAAATGATCATATACAGTAAACCCCTCTGTCGTTATTTCACTATTTTCACCACTCATACATTTCTATCCCATTGGAATTATTTGTTCAATTCATTGATCATTCCACAGTCTTCATAAGCTTCCAAAGATGCCCCACATTAATACCTCTAGTTGAAACAAGCCTTCACTAGTGCCACAATTATCTTATACTGGTACGGGCCTTCAAAATGCCCCAACACCTCAAATTGTAAGGCTCATTCTCCATACCTTCTTGGTCTGAATCTTGTCATCTCAACATGATGTGGGTTCAGTCGTGCCCAACATCATCTTATACTGGTATGGGCCTTCAAAATGCTCCATCGCTTTAAATTGTAAGGCTCCTTCTTCATGCCTCCCTAGTCTAAATCTTGTCATCTCAACATGATGTGGGTTCAGTCATGCCCCAATGTGTGTATTCATGGTTCCCTTTGTGCCAAAAATCTCTTGACTTCGTATGCTCACATTCTAGTACTACTAAACAGGAGTAGTGATCAACCCTTATAACATAATGTATTGTATTTTCATTCGGGCTGAGATATGTGCCCCCTTTCAAATATGGCGATCATCTACTTCTTGATGGGTTACTAACAACGTCATAAGGAAATATTAGCATTTCTATCCTTCATCCATTCTGATCTCTTAGACCATCTGCTTCAAGATCGCGGAATGCTTCATATTCTGGCATTGCTTATTCTTCTTCTCCAATGGAGGGAGAATGAGTGTCACCAACTTCAATGACCTTTCACATTTGAAACTGTCATGTTTGAAAATGTTTTTCCATTTTCTCTTATTTTTAGGGAATGTGAAAAATTTATGAATAAATTTCAAAAACGCTGTCATTTTCTTCAGACTCACAATCAAAACAAATTGTGAAACAAGAGTTCAATGAATATCAAATAAGTCAAATTTTCTTTTAATCCTTCAAAAATTATATATATTTGAAAATTGTAAAGATTAATGCTGAAGAAAGGCTTAGGCTGACTTAGGAAGGTAATGTATTTCAGGTTAGCTTCTCGCATCCTTAATTCTAGCATTTTATTGATCTGATAAGGCAACCATTATGCTTCTCTTCTAGAAATGTTCACTGGTTCTTAGCCTTCGTGAGCGCCTTTGGACTGTGCAATGCTTTATCAAGAGATGTATAAGATCACCCTTCTGTACAGTAGTTGACAATCTTTGTGTTCGAGTTGCCTTTTCAGGTTTTTAACTCGAATTCTCCTTTGGTTTCAAGACGTCATCTAAAATTTTACGTCTTGAACCCTCCTTTTATTTTTTCCTATCATGCATTAAAGATTTTATTTTAAAAAACTATTTACAAATACAATTAAACTTGAGGGGCGGAATGAAATCTGAAATAGTCTCTCTATTTAGAAATCCATGTATGATTAGAAGAGACTTTTCAGCACGTAATGTAGACCAGAGCTCATGGTTATGAAAGAAAAGGATAAATAAGCTCAAACAAGTGTTTAAAGGTGATCGAACCAATGATCAATTTGTTCTACTGTCTTCAACCTTGCTCTGCCTTATTTGAATCCGCTCAGTTGTCTTTTATTCTCTT